GGCGCAGAGAAGCAAATGGCTACACCTGGTTACAAAACAAACATCAAGCGTGCACATGGCTTCTCACCTTACCTGAGCAAATAGGAAAGATGGCAGGCTGGGGGCTAAGGCAGTGTGTGTTGGGTAAACACCAGGGAAACTGGAGAATGTTCTGGGCCTGCTCCCCCACCCCCAGGTCTGGATGTGATTCTGCTGCCGGAGGAGGGAGAGAGCACAGGGCTCTTTGGCTCTTCTCATCACTTTCTCACCCGCCAGGGGTAACAGGAAACTGAAAACTCTCTTTTGTACCCAGGTTCTCCTCACAAATGTGTCAATCACTTGCTTGGGCAGAAGCTGCAAGAGAGAGGCAGCTAAGGAAAGCATGGAGAGAGGAACTGACCACTTGTGTAGGGGCAGGGTCCCAAGATGACTTTTGCTTATAAAGGAAGAGGTGCTAATGGCGGGGGCCACAGATGATATAAATTAGGGAGGACATAGTGGCAATGTGTCCCATCAGTAACCTAACCCACTGCCACAGGGTCTCATGCATCTTGATGGCCAGGAACTTCTGGCAAATTCCTAATCAGTGAGCTCTTGCCAGGGTATGTTTTGAATTTACAAACTCTGTGTGTGTGTATATGTGCAAGCGTGCTTAGGTGGGTGAGACATTGACAAATGAGTTTCATAAATAAATGTACTCTTTGTGTGCCTGAGGCATTAGAGTTTAAAATAAAATACTGTCTTATTGTCTTCAGTCCCAAGAAGTTTTTAATCAAAAGTGTCAGCCAGGCCGGGGTGGTGCGTGCCCTTAATCCCAGCACTCAGGAAGCAGAGGCAAGCGGATCTCTATGAGTTCGAGGCCAGCCTGGTCTACAGAGTGAGTTCCAGGACAGGCTCCAAAGCTACACAGAGAAACTAAACTAAAAAAAAAAAAAAAAAGTTAAGTGTCATTACCAGGTAGTGTATAACTAAATTGAAAACTTAATCCATATGTCCTTTGATTCTGTAATTTAGCTTTCAAGAACCAATCTCCCAATCCTAGCTATACAAAAGGATATAAAAATTGAAAACAACCATTGTCTGTCGGAGGGACTGCGTAGGTGATGGGGCTCATCTTAGGGTATGCAGTGAATGTCTGAGATGGGGTGAAGATGTGCAATAGTGCTCCCCAATGTGTGAAGCATCACCAAAGAGTACAAGCGTACCCGGAAGGGGCTGGGCATATGTAGGCACACATGATCACTCTGTATCCGTAGGATGCTTCTAGGAAGCTATCCCAAAAATGTAATGGCGGATCTTTCTGTGGACAAAATGAGAAGACTGGCTTCCACATGCGTCCAGGAGGTTTGCTTTCCACTCCCTCCCGCAGTGCACTCTTGGAAAATCCTAACTGGCCAGGTCCATAAGTCGTTTTCAAAAGGTATTTTAATGAGAACATCACTCTTCCCCATTAGTTGGGGTTTCCCTCTCGCTAGTGTCAGTGTTCGATGGGATAGACGAAAATATCCGATCTGTTGCGTGAACTAGGAATGGCGTTAATGGCTATGGGACGAGGCACATTTCTGTGGGAGTGAATTTCAGTCACTAATGAATAACAGAGAACATCGATGGAGCTGCTGGGTTTGTTTGTGCACCTGGAGAGCTACATCAGAAGCTTAGCGCCTCTCCTGGCAAGTCACACCAAAGCCATTCCCATACCGAGGGGTCGCCTTGCCTTCCCAATGGATAATTAAAGGCCTCTGGCCCCCAATTCTTTAGAGCTACCAGTACCCTTTTCTCTTTGCCTGTGGCTGACAAAGGAGGAAAAATGTTTGGGAGGATAAACACTCGCTGATTTATTTACATTAAATAATACTTTGCTCGTTCTCAGTGGCCTTTCAAAAGCAGCCATGTGACAATGACTCAGCAGGGTTTGTGGGCTATCAAGCTTGTGGGTGGGGCCGTCTAGAGGAGAGGCCAAAGCTTTTCTTTTGAGATCTGCCACTAATTTAACACTGGGTGTTCTGAAGGAAAGATACGGAGCTTGCCCCTCATTTAAGCATGCCTTGTTGCGCTCGGCTTTCTCTTGTAACGTTCGCTGCAAATGACCCTTCCGTTTGCCTAAGTAGTCTGTCTTCTCTCTGTTCAGACTGCAGAATCCTTAGGCCAGGCGTAGTGGCCCACGCCTGTAATCCCTGTTCTCTGGAAGCAGAGATGGAAGGGTCCTCCAAGTTCCAGGCCTTCGCGGGCTGGAGTCCCAACCTGACCAGGGTTACATATGAGACTCTGTCGCGAACACACCACACCAAAGCACCAAAGCTGTATAAATGTGAGACCGGTGTCTCCATCCATCCATCCATCCATCCATCCATCCATCCATCCATTCATCCATCCATCCGCTTATAGAACAAATACTTAATGCTTATGCCTCTGCTGGGCTTTACTGTGCTCCAGGTTGCAATGTGAATCCCTTGCTTCCAAGATGTTCACGGTCTCCTAGTCTCCTATTCTCTTCACGGTCCGTTGATCTCACTGTGATTGTGTTTCCCCGGGTACTGAACACAGAAGAGATTCGTCAAAGTTCTGAGTAACCTCTGGCAGCTTGCGAACCCAGAAGGGCACTGTGGTGTTATGCCTGTGTGCTCAAGGTCTTGCTGAAGAACTTTTAGAAAAAGCACCAATTCTCGAGACCTCCTAGCGGTCGCTTTCAGGAAGGTAATTTCTTTCTTTCTTAGCCCAGGTGTTTCTGGACCTGGAACCTCTCTTCAGGCTGACGAAGGGCAACATTTGTTCTGGTTTAACAGTGGTCTGAGCTACCTTCTCTTTAGGAAACAGGCTCACTTTTCACACAGATGAATGACCGGCATGGGAAGAGGGCAAGAGGCTGGGAGAAGTCATACCTCCTGAGTGCTGCTAAGGGCCTGGAACGCCACACACCTTCCCTCAGCTAGTGAACAATTACCCAGAGATATTGGGGGTTAGTAGGGGATGCACACCCCTCTCTGTATGATATCTGTTTATAATTTTAAACGAAATGATTTCTAAAGAACTATGTCATAAGTTAAGTTGCCTAACGCAGTATGATCCAGTCATTGCCCTCACAGAGGTAAACATGCTAAGCACATACAAAATCAAATAATCACAGAAAAATGGAGTTACAGTAAACGAGAGGATTTTAGGGACCCGGAGTTTCCTAGGATGCACAGATCACAAACAACATGAAAGATTATTTTCAATTATTATGCAAATGTTTTAAAATTCTATTATTCATTTTCATATGCATTAGGAAAATCTAAGCCTAGTATATACCTAATCTTTGAGTACATGAATTCTGTTGCTTACTCTAATGATACCGAATGAGCTGGTTTAAAGACAACATAGAGGAATGTGTCATGAAGCAGCCATTTCTAAGGGTATGACCAGGAACACAACATGGAATCTGTGTGCTATCTGAATGGCTGGACATTGGGAGACAGAGAGGTTAAATGAGTTACCCACGGTCAGAAACAATCATAGAGACCGGAACATGTCACCTGACTTTGTCCTCACATCCTCACTCAACCATTACTTCCTCCTCTGCAGACAAGGAGATAGCAGCTTGGCTAGTGAGCCATCTGTTTTGAAGAGAGACTCCAGTGAGAATCTGGCTGCAAAGTAGAAAGCATAGGCTTGGTTCAGGTCAAAACCAAAGCTAGAATGTTTACTGTTCGCATCAGTCTTACAAAGATCTCACATTTATTGGCGTATGCTAATCCTCAAACCACCCTGTGAGATGCTGTTAGATGTTGGGATAATGTTTTTTGGTTTTTTTGTTTGTTTTTTGAGACAGGGTTTCTCTGTAACTTTGGAGCCTGTCACGGAACTAGCTCTTGTAAACCAGGTTGGCCTCAAACTCACAGAGATCTGCCTGCCTCTGTCTCCCAAGTGCTGGGATTAAAGGTATGCACCACCACTGCCTGGCTGGGATAATCTTTTTGTACACAGTGTGAAGATGTGTCTCTGTCCTTCCTTGCTGCCTAAGGTACCTTCTGATTGGTTTAATAAAGAACTTAACAGCCAATAGCTAGACAGGAAGAGGATAGGCGGGACTTCCGGACTGAGATAGGGACTCAGATTAGAAGAATCTGAGGCAGGAGATTTGCCAGCCAGATGTGGAAGACATTGTATGTATGGTACTGGGGAGAGGTCATGAGCCACGTGGCAGAACATAGATTAATATAAATGGGTTAATTTAACTTTTAAGAGCTAGTTGAGAAGCAGCATTAGCTAAGGCCAAGCTTTCGTAATGAATAAGAAGTCTCTGTGTTGTTATTTGGGAACTGGCGCTACACAGACAGTCCTGCTGCACTGAGAGATTCCCATCGTCCTTCTTCTTACCAGGGAAAAATGAAGGAACGAAGAAGATCAAGGGCTTTTTTTTTTTTTTTTTTTTTACACTTTAACTTGCAGAGTTGAGATCTGAACCTGGGTCGTTCGGCTCTAGAATGTGTTCCCTTGACCTTTACACAGCACACCAATACGTGAGGAGGTGAAGGGAACGTCTTGTACCTCTATGTCACTGGAGCTATTCTGCTCAGTGTGGGAGACATCCTTCCCACTTCCCACCTCAAATGTAGCCAGTTTGTCCTCATTCGTCCTGTGGAAGACAGGCACAGTTTCTTCTCGACCACCAACTTTTCTTTTTTCGGCAAGGTTCCCCAGCACAGTCCCAGGCTGTCTTAGAACTCATGCTTCCCCTGTCTCAACCCTTTGAATGCTGGGATTGCAGAAACCCCCAAGAGAGATCTATGGTTACCGTTCTTCCATAAGAATAATTCATTTGTGTAGTACATTGAAAACTAAAAGCAAGACCTCCATCTCCAAGGCTGAGATGGTCATCACCACGGGACGGTGAATAGGGATGGCATAGTGGGGGTCATGTGGGTTCATGGCAAAGCTCGTTGACAGGAGCAGAGGCCCAGGGCACTGCAGGGGGTCACCAGGTGCTGAGAAAGCTCTGCCTGCCGTGTGGTGCTTGGCACAGTCCCTGGTAGAGCGCTGGTGTTCAGAGCCAAGAATGATTGGAAGCCTGGATGGAAACAGTTAGGCAGGGAAGTGGGCGATCGGAGGTGAGAGGGCAGCATCTTGTGCCAGGTAAGTCAGGAGGAGAGTGCCGAGTTTCCGGTCCACAGGGAAGGGAACCTCGCTCAGACCACTCAATGGCATGCTGCAGTAGCTAGTGCTCCCGGCTCTGAGGGAACCTTTCACCTTTGTCCTATGTTGTAGCAAGCCTAGTTCCAGCTTAGATGTACAGATCTCGGTCTCCCTCCCTATAAGGTACTTGCTGGGGTTGCGGGGAGGCCATCTGGGTCCTGTCATTCCTCTGCACTGGGGCTCAAAGAGAATCAGCCTATGGGCTCTTTATCTCCCCAGCAGGTGCCGACAGCTGAGCCATTCCACACACCTTTAGGGCAAAGAAGCACCGGAAGCCAGAGCAGGGCCAAGTTCAAAGACTGGACATTCTTTCCGAGGCTACCAGAAGCAGCCCGGAGGGCCGGCTCCCGCGTTACATAAGCATCAGGTTAGCAGGTCCATCAACCGCTGCACTCAGCCTTGGCCTCTCGGACTTGCGCAACTATTGCGTAGAAGCACTTGTTCCGTGTGGCAACAGGGCTACATGGTTATCAAATACATGGTGCATCCGCCCAGACTCACTTAGACGACACCAAAGCTCTTCACCACCAGGTGGTTAAAGCTGCCGGATGGGGCTGGCAGGAGGCAAAGCTGTGACTTACTGTAGCTCTTGGCCCAAGCCGCTGAACACTCAGTACCTTGTACCCCGTTAGCCTTGGGCAGTAAAGCCTCTGATAAAATGTTCTTTTTTGCTGTTTGTTTTTCCTGGCAGTCTCATTTTGGGATATAAATGGCTCATTATTTCCATCCCATAGATCCATTCTTGCTTTCTGAAATAACGGAAAGATTGGTTAAAAAAAAAAATTATCATTGGGGCGACCCCTCCTCTCCCCAAGTATTGTGACCTTGAACAGAGGCCGAGTTTCCACAGTGCTTGGGCCATCTAGAGTTGAGCCAGTGTGGGAGAGAAGGCGTCCGCGAGCAGGGGATATAAATATATTTACACTAAAGTGCTTGGTGCTGTTTAATGCCAGGAAGTGGCACAGACACCCCCTGACCCCCACTGCTGCCGTCACCGGAGCCCCAGCAATCTGCAACCTTCTCAGAGGACACAGGGCAAGCGTCAGAGGTTAGGAAGTTGGAGCAGGGTCCTTCCCCCGATGGGTCATTTTCCCTGCAGGGCAGCTTGGAGGCAAATTTTATTAAGGATCAAGTAGCTGGCCCAAGGCAGTATAAATAGTGAGAAAAGCATGTGACAGACAGTCCCAGAAATGAATGTGGCTTAGACCCAAGCAGAAGGCGCCCGCTCTGTTTACTGTTACTGGGCACTTTGCGTGGTGGAGATGTCTCCCCAGCAACCATCCAGGAACGGTGTGTGGGACCGTGAACACAGACTTGTTGAGGCTTAGTACCCAAATCTTTAGAGACGTCGCCTTGCTCTTGGAAACGGGTGAACCACACAGTTAATTCAGGGAAGGAGCCAGGATAGGAGGAGGTCGTCATCCCGAAGCAGAGGCTGGTCCCTAAAAGCTCCCCCAGATTAGCCAGGTACTATTGAGGGCAAAACATTGACTCGTGTCTTAATATTGTATAGAAACTGTCACATCAGAAATAGACAAGAAAGGCCTCAAGTTTGAATTTTCCCAGGACATTCTTGAACGAATTTAATGTGTCCAATTAGCTTGCTTTGCTGTTGCCTCTCTTTAGGGTAGACCCCAAGTGTAAGCCAAACTTTAGGGAAATGGATCAAGCAACACGGAGAACTGGGTGATGAGAACCACGAAGCTATTGAAGAGCAATGTCTTCTTAAACCAGCTGTCTCTTGTCAATCCTGTTCCCACTGTCCAGAGTTGTTGGCACCTTGCGTCCATCCACTGGAGAAGGCTCTTAGGATTGGAGGGGTGTGGCACGTTCCCACTTATAGTCAACAGATTTCCAAGGTACCCCTTGGCTCGTTCATCTTCCGCAATAGGACTTCTACTTTTTCTACACCTAAACTCTAAGTGTACTGTGAAAAATGACAGTATTGCCAGTGTCCCATCATCCTAGAGAGGACAGTAGCCACCTGAATATATCATACCCTGTGTGTTTGTTAAACACCGACATCTATACTTCGCATCCAGAACCTAGATATAGAAGGCTACTGACTTTCAGAGGCCAGTGACCAGGAGGAGCCAATGGCCTCAGAATTCCTCTCGGAGGGTGTGAGGACACGGACGGGCCCTGTTTCCTCCTCCCAACCTCACTCTCATTCTGGCAAAGACTATTTACTCCTTAGCCAATATTTATTCTGTTTCTTTTTCTATGAAAACAATTCTAGCCTGGCAAAATTCCTGGCTCAGAGACAACATTTCCCAGCCCCTCTCATAGTTGGAATGGTGCAGGATAGGTGCTTACATAAATTTGAATTTTGTCAAGCAAATGTTTTTTTTTAATTATAAGTATGTATGTGTTCCTGACATAGTATTTTTATAATTTTTAATGGTTTCTTTATTTTTATTTTATGTGTACGAGTGCTTTGCCTGCATGTATGTATGCATGTGTGTGCCTGGTATCCAAGGAGGCCAGAAGAGGGCCTTAGATCCCCTAGAACTGGAGTCACAGACTGTTGGGAGTTGTCCTATGGGCATTGGGGGCTGAACCCAAGTCCTCTGCATGAGCAGTCAGTGCACTTAACCACTGGACCATCTCCCCAGTCCCCAGTATTTTTGTATTTGTACTTGTCAAATACGGCAACTCTGTACACAGGGATTTTGGAATGAAGATTTTTGTTGTTGTTGTTGTTCTTTTCTCCTTTCTCTCCTGGGACATAGAGAACTGGGACTTTAGCAATCATCTGGAGACATGTGGTCAAGGGCAGCAGAAATTGACAACAGAGGCCTGGGGTCTATGGTGAATATACATACACCTTCAGAGGTTTTTATTTGTGTGTGTGTCTCTGTGTGTGTGTGTGTGTGTGTGTGAATAAATCATGGATTCACATTAGCTACTGTGCTATCTCTGATCTGTATCAAACTGCTGCTAAATATTCCTATGATATGGCTCTAATATATCATAAGGTAGTATTGTATTCATCATAAATAATTGTCTCTAGTATAAACATATATACTGTACATATATACACAATATTTTTCTTTGAGACAAGGTCTTAGGTACCCCAGATTGTCCCTGAACTCTCTATATATCTAAGGCTGACTTTGAACTCTTGATCCTTGTTCCTCTGCCCCCAAGTACTGGAATTACAGTTATGTGCCTCCACACCCAAATTAGTTACTGTGCTTTGTAAGGTCTCTGGGAGACGTGGGGCTGTATTCTTTCTATCCTTTGCAAAGGAAACCCTCAAAATGAGCCCAGTCCACAGCGCTGGTTGCTGGCTGTTTGCTGCCATTGTGCATTTTCAGCACTTGTTTCAGACAGTAACATTTCGAAAGCCAAATGGCTCTAAACTTCTCCCGCACAAACCTTCTGCCTAAAACTCAGCTCATGTCTACGGATCTACTTAAACCTCAAAGTCATCTTTCCAGAAGGCATCGCTAGCTTCTCTTGTACGGCAGAGAATTCAGGATAGGCATGTGTCCAGACAAAGTCATTTATAAAGTCAACAACTTAGAGCGAAGGTTCTAGCCATGGTGGTATAGCCCTATATTGCCAGCACTCAGGAGGCTGAGGCAGGGGGACTTCCAGTTTCAGGACAGCCTTGGGGTCTGTAGGGAGTTCAAAGCGAGCTGCAGCTATACAGGGAGATTCTGTTTCAAAGGCAGCCACAGTGAAACCGGGAATGGTATCAAATACAGCTCCTTCAGCAAGTCATGACCTTGAAGGTCCGCTGTGAGACATTCTGGGTAGTAGAGTGAAGGGGTCAGACGTCCCTTTGCATATAAGGCTGAGCTACCAGTTATAAAGGGAAAGTGGTCAGCTGGGTTGTGAACTGTATAAATACCTGGCTCCTTTTCGCCAGTGGAATCTTTTGAAGGTTAAGTGGCAGTAAATAATCAACCACACCTTCTCAGATTGGCTGCATTTACATTTCTCTTAAAGACTCCCACCAACAACTCCCCCCCCCCCCCCGCCCCACCACCCCTGACGATGCAACTGTGAAACCACCAGCAGAATTTCCTTTCGGGAATCCCTCTTCAAACAAGCAGAGAACAAGATCAGGACGGGTCTAGCTGGCGGAGGCTGCCCTCAGGAGGTGGTTAGACTTTGTGACCTGAGGGCCGAGAGTTAGAATTTAATGGGGAGAGGAAGCAAGAAGCTGCACACACTGTTTTGGAAGTCTCTACACGGGACTTTCAGCTCCAGCAGGTATCAAGGAAGGGTGAGGTCAGGGGCATAGAGAGCTGTGGAGCCAAACCTCAGGACAACACAGGCGATGTCTCAGATAACAGGAGCAAAGGACCCAGAAGAATAAGCCATCCACGAACAGAGAAAGATCAGCCCAGAGCCTCTGCCCTTGGAATCTGCTGAGAGATTATGACGTCATGGTTGACATCTCTGGGGCGTTGATGGATGAATTGTTTGTAGGCATCCAAACCACAGACATAAATTAAAGCTGCACAGAATTGAGTTGGATGGATAAAACCCATCATGTGTGTTCATCGGTGTCTTGCCCATCATGTTATGGGTGAGGAAGAAATATATTTGATAGTCATTCTGGGACAGATATGCGATATATGTTTCAGCAGGCTGAGGCAGGAAGTTCACGAGTTTGAGGCCAACCTGAGCTACACAGTGAGTCGTGGGTCAACTTGGACCACATAGTGAGAGTCTGTCTCCGAACAAAACAGAAAACAAAACAAAGCTCTATTGATTGAACATCACTACGTACCAGGCCTCGTGGTCAGGAATGTACCCTGTTTTATAGTGCTGATCAGGCAGGGTAGTAACGTCTTTGAACTTCCCGTGAACATTGCAACTTTACAAGGTCCTTCCCTTCCCCGCTTTAAGAGCACAGCCGAAGCCAGTCACCTTTTGTGTCCTGTGCTCTCTTTAAGGGCTGTCGCTTTAACGAAAGTGCAGTAACGAACGTGTTGGTAGGCAAGTTCGTGAAGTACTCTCAGTTTTAAAATAGGCTTATGGTAAGCCCTCCAATAAAAGTGAGAAGGCTGCTTTAGGTTTAGTTTTCCTCTGCTACTAATTAATCTTTTTTCCTTTCTTTACAACTAAGTTTAAACATTTATCAAAGGAGCTGTTGAGTGAGGGAGGAGAGGACTTAGTGACTCCCGGTCTAGTATAGGCAGTAAGTGGAGGCTGACGACTCAGAACTAGTCGCTAGACCCCTTCAAACTGTGTGGACTTGCACTTCTTACTTAAATGCCTTGAGGGCTGTGTTTCCACATCTGAGATATGGGGAAATTGTGGTATTTGTCATGAAGATAAACTCAATTTAAAGATTAGGTAACTGGTTCTTTGAAGGCCAAAACATGCCCTAGCAAACGTAGCTTCTTTTCCTACTCCTCAGAAATTATTGGATCTCTTGGTTTATTGCTCACTCATCTGTATATATGTTGTCTGCAGCTACCAATAGATTGATCAGTTCATCTATTTATCACCATGGATCACTCAGTGAGTGTTATCCAAACATACTGGGAGCACAATGGTAACATGGATTCTTTCCCCCAGCAATAACCCTATGTCTCATTCCTAATTCTACCCTTAACAACCAACTGGAGGTTTTCTGTTTTTAAAGGGAAGATCTGAAGTGTCTGACTTTTACCTGGCTCCTAGTTTCTCTGTTCCCCTTCACCCTTTTCTTAG